GTTAGATGGGGTGACAGGGGGCAGTCAGGGGACAGGGAAGGAGGTGGATGGGGCAGGGATCCCGGGAGGGGGGGGCGTCAAGGAACGTGGGGGCTTGAATGGGGCAGGAGTCCTGGGGGGCGGGGGGATGGCCACGACCCCCTCCTGGGGTGAGGAGGAGGGAACCGGTTGTTAATTTTTTGGCAGCTCATCACTGTTCACAGGTATAAACACACTTTAAAAATTCCTACACTGGTACTCTTAAAAGGAGCCAGACTATCCTGTCAATTACACATGCACACTAGGTAGGACCCAAGTGCTAGAATTTGCATCAGCATTTACTCATTCCTTTGTGTGCATGCAAGTGTAAACAGTGTTCAAGAGTGCACTTACATATTTACACAGGCACAGTAATGTCAACAAGGAATTTTACACCCCTAGAAGTAGAGGCCTAGGCTGAAGCTTTTCACCTCGGAACTGACTTTGTTTTCATTCTTAAAGTAGGTCCAACAGCTCTGCTCTGTTATGAAGCCCCAGAAAGTATTATGCTGCTCATGTCACAATTACTATAGAAGTTTGCTGGAGCATGGATCGAGCCAGGAGTGGTCAGAGACTGTTAACATCTTTTTTAAAAGTATATTTCACTGGTATCCAAAGCTTGTAATACATTGTTGCCACATTTAATTGGTTCCTTCAATAAAGGGAGCAGAGTCCAAGGGCACTTGGACTGGTTACCTGCTGTGTAGGAATGCATAGTTCTCGAATCGCCAGCCCACGGGCGCGGCAAACTGCCCCTATGGCAACGAGGCAGGAGTGACCTTCAATCTAGCGTTTGTGTTTGGGAAACTTATTTGGCTGATTTGATTGTTTCTTTGCAGCTGGCATTCACGCGCTCAAGAGATGGGTTCGTTATCTTATGTGCATGTATACTGCCTGGCTTTTCTATGCGCAAAAATGTAACCACTAAGAAGTGTTGTAAACAAAGTAAAAAGAGAAATAAAAACCCCAGGAAAGTTTTCCTGGGAGGCTTTTTGCTTGAGGCTTTTAAAGCTCTCTAGCTACCACAAACCTGGTGTTCTATTTCCTTTCCTGTGTCGTCACCACACTGCTGC